TGTTCTGCTCCCCACTCTGTCTCTGGTGAATCCTCTCACCCTCCGCAACTCTGGCCTGTACCCCAGTTCTGTACGAATAAATAAATAAATCTTTAAAAAAAAAAGAAATTAAATATACTAATTTTCTTTTTTCCCCATTTCAGTCATTTTGCCTGTAAAAGCCAGAATAGGAGTAGTTCGTATTTAAATTTCTCAAAACCCTCTTGTAAGGGCTAGGAAAATGGTGAGTCTTCTTTTCCAATTCACCCTTTCTACAATCCCCAAGAAACCTCCCATCTAAGCAGCAGACCAATTACCTTTAAAATCATTTTCATAGGGCCACTCATGACTGACTCAGAGCATCGCTCAATTCACACGTTAGTTTACCATAAGTCCAAAGTCTCTCCAGAATCCACCTCAAAACATCTACTCTTACTTACTGTTCAATTTCTCATCAAGGAATGCTAACGACCAACCCCTGGTCTGTCCAAACCAAGAGCTCTTTTACTTAAGTTTTTCTCACCTGGCAGGACACCCCCAAATTCTTCCCCTTCAAGGCGCAGATCAAGTTCTGCCACTTTGGTAAAAAAAGAAATTACTAGAGTCAATCAGAAGACATTTCCTACAGCTGTTTTGCTGTAAGTAAAAGTTTCTCTAGAGAGTCAATTAGTAAAGCAGAAGTGCTTTACTAATGCTTTAGCATTTGGTAGGATACTTAGCATAGCACAGGAGGTGAAGGCTGGGTATCACAATGGGGTGAGAAGGATTTGCCTAAATATTCTAATGCCTTCTTTGTGAATAACTGCCAAGCCGAACCCCTGGTGAGGTTAAGACTGGGTCCTCTTTAGTATTTTTTACAACAGAAAAGGACAGCCATACATTGGGCTGTTCTCAATTTGGGAGGGATGAAGAAAAGGCCCATATATTCCTGGGGTCCCAGTTTAACTCCATTAACTCTTACCAAAAACTATTTAACCTTTTAAGCTCAGGTTGGGGTTGGAATTTCTACTTTTCAGGGTAGTTTAAAGAATAAAAAAATGTACTGGGGAAAAATATGAGCCACAGAGTAGCACTCCACAAATTCTAGCACGTGCACGTGTGTATATGTATTAAGCTTAGCATGCAGAAACCCTTTTTATTTAAGGTCTGTAGGCTAATAAGAGTTCAGCAAACGACAAGCCTTACATTTCTGTCTGGAGACAGGTTTTATTTGCCAAATGGCCTTTTTGTTTTTTCCGAATAAACTCATTTAGCAGAGGAATAGCTGAGAGCTTTTTGCTTGAGGTCAACTGTAACTATGTATATTAATGTACTAAATATATCCTGAACTGGCAAAACGGTTGCCAGCAAGCTAGTTCTTAACATGATATCTCTGACTTACTCGCAGAATGTCAGGACCCTCTTGAAAAAGTTGTAAAGGTATAACAAAGGGGTATTTAGGGACTACCTCTAAAGGGGATCTGGCCACCACTATGCGCAAGGGAAATGCATCATATGTGTTAGATCTTTAACAGGATAAGTGCGCAGAGAGAAAAGTTCCTAATAAGTTTCCCAATGCAACACCTAAAGTGACCTACACCCCCCCCCCCCAGACATCCTATCAACATAGCCAAATTGAGTTGGCCTGAAATAGGACCGCTAAGGCCTGAGAGCTTGCCACTAGTCTAAGGCACTTTCTGGCAGGGAACGACAGGAAAGGGGTTCTGAAGCAGGTCCCAGCTTTCTGGGACAAGAAGAGATACGACATCAAGACAGTGGCTGTCATTGTCAGCCCAACTATCACACAAGCGTCCTTACAAGTCTCCACCCAGCAGGAGGGTGCAAGTCTGGGGCAGGGAAAAACGCGCCTCTTGGCCCAGGTGCCTTCACTTTACAGAGCTCCAAGGCACTCAGCTCCGCCTCCCAGGCCCCGGCGCTAGGTCAAGGACGCGGCTTCGGGGTGGGGGCAGGGACCACAGACCCTCCCCAGGCAACCAGCCGAGCTATGTGCACCTGTGCTAGCGCCATCCTCTGCCAACGACTGTTTGCAAGAGGGTCTGCAAGTAGCCCCACACCCAAGACAAAAGCAGAAAAACAGCAGTACCTCTCGGGCTTGTGACTTAGGGGCGGGGACCTGGGGGAAGACGCAAGGAAGGCCCACGGTCGACGCGGAGCGGTGGTCACCAGCGCGGCTCGCGGCCAGCTCCGCTTCCTGCAAGAGTCGGACTCGCCCTTCAGGCCCACCCCTGACTCCTCTTTCTGGCCCTGCGGCCCGCCAAGGCCCACAGCCTGCCGCGGGGTAAGCCCCAGAAATTCCCGCCCTGGGCGGAAGCCGGCAGGCCTCAGCCCTAGGCTGGCGGAGACGCGGTGGCGGTAGGTTGGGTTCGAATAGAGCGCGGAGGCGGGGCCAGAGCGTGACGCGGCGCGACCGCGGCAAGAACGCGGGGCCTATAAGGAAGCCGCGCTGGGCGCAAGGCGCGCTGGGGCGGGGCCAGGTTGGAGCGGGGGCGGAGCTGGAGGGACGCAGCGTCGCCGTCGTGAGCCCGCCTCAGGAGGCGTGTCGGGGGCGGGGCAAGGGGCGGGGCTTGCTCCGAGCCAGTTCATTTAACCCGGCCGCTGGCGGCGCGAGCCCGGGCGCGGAGCGCAGCGGGAGGGTGTCTGCAGTGCGGCGGCTCTGCGGTGAGTGCCACCTTTGCGCCTTCTCGCGTGCATCGGCCTACACCTGCTCTTTCTCCCCTTCCAATTCAGCGATCGACCGGGGGACCTTCCCTAGCCTGCAGCTGCTCCGGGGAGGCGGAACAGATGGTCTGGTCCGGGCGGCGGGTCCTTTGTTTTGCCATAACTACGGCTGCGGGGTCGAGCCCCGAAGCCCGCGGACTGAGGGACGGGGCCGGGAGAGGAGACCTGGCTCGAGCTGCCGCGCCCGGGGAGCGGGAGGCTGGACTGTGATGCAGAGCCCGGGGAGCGGGAGGTTGAACCGGGTCTGCGGGGAGGCCCCAGGCCGGGTACCAAGAGGCGGGACCCGGGAGTGCAGACGGCGGGTGCTGGGCGAGGGGCTGCGGGAACGCAGCCTGACCGGGGCTCGGGAAGGACTGGCGAGAAGCGCTGCCCTGCAGGTGGGAGGCTGTCGGGAAGCGCTGGCCCTGAGGGCACAGCCTCTTGCTTTGGATGTGGCTGCTGCCTGCCGGGTCTCGGGCCTAGATTTTCTCGGGTTGACTGTGTGGCTTGTTTTTCCAGCGAGGTCCTTTCAAGCATCAAACTGCTGTTCCTTGTCAGGCCTGAAGGCCACGGATCTTTCCAGCTAGTCGCCATGCCTATGGCTAGGATGCTTTGAAATCCCTCAGACCTTGTCTTTCTCTTGTCACTCTTGTTTACTGTGGATCTGCTCACAAGCCTTAACTTCCCAAGCAGCTGCCTTCACCCCTCCCCTTCTTCTTAAGTGTCAACCTAGCCCCCCCCAAAATAAAAAAAAAGGAACCAGTCTTCTCAGCTGTCTTCACTCCCTTCCCCAGTTAGACTCCCAACCTCGTCTTCCTAAAAGTCCACCAGATCTATCCACCTCTCTCCCTTGATCTAAGCCACCCTAGCTCTTTACCTCACTACAGCAGCACTTCACTGGCCTCCCTACTTACAAGACAGCCTGTCCCCCTTCAGGCCGAACTGACTGAGGGATCTTTACAAAATAAATCTAGAAACCCTTCCTTTGTCCTTAGAGTTAATTCAAACTTATCTCAAGTTGGTTACTTCAGCCTCTTTCTGGGCAACTAAGTCTTATCTCTGCCTTATCTTTTTGCCTTACCATTTAGCAAGGCACCATTCACCTTATATTCAGCCCTAGTGAATACCATTCTGAGATCTGGGTCAACCCTGCAGTCCCTCTCTACCCCTCCTCTCCCCCTCCCCCCCACATCATTTCTGCATAAAGAACTTGTCATGTAACACTTAAGTCTTCCTATGAGGTGTTCCTTTTGTAGCTGGCATTTTCTAACAGTGAAATGTCATATCCTTTGCAGCAGCCTGTTTACTTTTTTTCCTTCTAGAGTCTTAAGCAAATTCCATGGCAAACTATGTTTTATTGTTCCTTAATGGCTTACCCCATTATCAGGGCCTAGCACAAGTGAATGCTTGTGCTATTGTATTAATACTTTTTAATAGTTATAAAAATATAGAGTAGATAAATTATTTGTAGTTATATAAAATTATAAAAATACAAAAACCAGATTTTTTTTTTTGATTACTTAGCAAATTATAATGAAAAGATGTTGCCCAGAAAGGAAGGGTGGAAGTGAAGTAAGGAGTTACTGTAACAATGAGAATAGGCAAGATAAGTGGTAGGAAGTGTTAGGAACAGCTGGTCAGGCCAGCCTGTTATCAAAATGCGCTCAGCCACTTTGTATGTATTGCAGTTGCGTGAGCTCTAAGAATGAAATAGAAAGTTCAGATTATCTCTATCTCAACCTGAAGTTTAAGGTTTGCTTTCAATTTCATCTTTTGCAAAATTAGTTCCAAATGAATGAGTAACATGTTAGGATATGGCAATAAATCCTGTTGACAGTAAAAGAAGTAAAATGTTGTGCCTAGTTACATCAGAATTGCTTTTGCTGTCCTGAAAAAAAGGCCTTTTAAAAGCTTATCAGATTCAGACTGTTACCTCACTTCTTTACTGTTTTGCTTTTGAACCTAATTTAACTTTATCTCCTCCTGCTTCATCCCCCTTCTAGTGTTACAAAGTAGTCTTTATTTTCAGGAATGGCATTAAATGTATGCCTAGTATTAGATTTTTAAGCTATGCCAGAAATGGGAAGTACTAATATCTGGGTCTAAAAAAAAAAAAAAAAGTCTTCAGACAGTATTAGATAACTGTTTTGTACACATTTCACAAATGCAAACCTAGTAGAGAGGAAAGGCCCTTTGTGGTCTGACTACCTGAGATCAGCCCTTGAAGGAAACCCTTACTAGCTCATCCATAAATTAGACATAATTGTCTCAAGAGAGCACAGAAGATGTTTGTAGTCTACCTTGTAAGTAATCAGTGTAAATCACTCTTTGTTGTTAGTTATTTCATTGTGGAGCTTCTGAATTACCCTAGAGCAGGATAGAAGTGATCAGATCAGCACATGAACATAGTCTTCTGCCTTGTGCCACTTTTGAATACCTGTGGTGATCTGTAAACCCCATTTGGGGGTCAATCTTTGTTTCTTGACAGCTGAATACATAGCACTGACTGATGTTGAGCAGTTCAAACCTTTTGCAGGCAGGTTGAAAACCTGAATGTGATTGTTACATTCAGGCCCTACCTGTAATTTTTGTAAAAGACAGCCCAAGATTCTTCATTCTACATTTATTTCATACAAAATAGTAGGTCTGCAGGAACTTGCCCAGTTCCCCTCTGTCCCTCAAAAAAAATCTTAGGACTAGGTCGAGCATTCTTGTTATGTCTTTCCATTCAACGTGGCCCTTGCCAGAGAAAAGAATGGTTTTATTTGCCCACACGGCACAGCTGAATTTAGTTCATTATATGTTTGATTTTACTTCACATTCACATGCTCTCCTTAGCTACAAAATTAACATTTAAAGATTGACTTTACAGGCCCAGTAACTATATCCAGAAGAAATTCAGAGATGAGATGGGAAATGATATCAATAAAACCTCTAGTACATTATAGATGAAGTCGCTTTTAATCCAAAATATGGTAAAAAGTATGTTCTTTCTGTTTCACTTACAAAATCAGGAATTGTGGATGCTTTTGAGACTAACTTCTCAAATAGGTAATGAAAGGTCCTGATTGTTTTTCAAGTTCTTTGACAGTCACTCTGGAAAGGCTTCATCTTTCCTTTAATGACAGAGAAAAGACATCTATAGAAATGTTTCACATGAAGCCAGGGATTTTACTCTTAGAAGCAAATTACCTAGAGGCATCAGAAACACCATCAGTGTCAGAATAAAAGCCAAAAGTAGGTGAAGAGCACTTAACTCCTTAAAGTGAGTGTACTTTATGCTACTTGAGTGTCTCTGTGCCCTTATTGTAAAGTTTCCCTATATGTGTTTTTTTTTTTTTTAAAGATTTATTTATTTATTCGTACAGAACTGGAGTACAGGCCAGAGATGCGGAGAGTGAGAGGATTCACCAGAGACAGAGTGGGGCACAGAACAGGCAGATCAACGAAGTACACTGCTGAGGGGAGCAGCGGGCGGGTCAGGAGAGGTCTGCCTCGCCATGTGGATCTCCTCTGGGGCAAGCGGGGATCGAACTCATGCAGAAGTGGCTTAAGCTTCTTTGTGTTATGCTTTAACCCACTGTGCCACCAGGGAGGGCCTCCCTATATGTTTTATCAAATGAAAATGTTGTAAGAACTGAAACTCTCTATCATTTAGGACAGTAAATATTTCCCCTGAGTGATAATTTTTATCCTCCCAAGATGAGGTCACCATCTCCAGAATAATTTATACTCAGAGAGACATTAGCTGCATTAGCTCACAGATGGTGAGGTAATGCTAACTGGAACACTTAGTAAGTCCTGTGAGAACCACAACAGCACCCCAGATTGGGTTTGATGCTTTCCTATGGAAAAAGCAGATGGTGACAGGTAGTTAGCAAATGTGCGCATGTCTGTTGCTGTGAGATTTTATTTGCCGTTATATAAATTTTTAATAGTATATGAACATCAACTAATACTACTGCAGTATCTATTATTCAGATGTCCATGAAAGAATCAAGTACATTTTAATATTTGTTTCTGAGAATTCCTTATCAAATAGTAAGACTTTAATTTTAAATCCTATTCTAAAAGAATTCATTTTTTTTTCCATTTGTGCCAACTATTCTATTGAAATACATTCTTATCTCAAGTCTAATACCAGGAATGATCAAATTATAATTACTTGTATTTCACCTGATGTGAAACTTTTGGTAAGAGAAAGTTTATTTAATGTATGAAAAGAAAATGATTACTTAAAACTCACCTAATGATTTAGATGAAATCTTACCTTGATATGAGCCAAGAAGGCAAATAAACACACACTGTAAAACTCTGGAAAACTGGTCACTGTTTAAATCTAAACATTCTATTACCTGTCATAAGGATGAACTGGATGGTCAGCTAGCTAGATAAAAAGTTGTTAGAAGTTAGTGTTTCAGTCTAGGAGTTATAGACAGGTTTTTAGAAGGGTTTGACAAGAGATCTTTGGGGCCTTGACCATCTGTGGGACCTGTCAGTACCTCAGGGTTCCTAAGTATATATTAATGCCTAGCATTTAGCAAACTCATTCATAGAGACAATTTGAAGGCAAACGGATGGGCCAGAAAGGGAGTATCTCCAGGTTCAGCTTCAAAAATTATGCTCTTTAGTAGGTCCCACTCTGTATTTCTACAAGCTAGTCACAACATTTTGAAACTCCAAAATATTTTCTTATGAGCTGTTATATAGTATCGATAAACCACTTTGTATACCATTATATGTTTACCTGTTTCCAGAAATCTCATCTGCTCTCTGTAGTGTTCTCTCAATGAAATATGAACTTGTTTCTCATCCGTGGATGAATGCTTACTTTGATTTGTGTATGGTCTTCTCACTTAGAATGGGCATGAATAGGGCCAGTTGGCCCTTGATATTTATAGTTCAAGAAGTTTGAGGTTCCCATGTACCTAATGAATGTTTATTGTATCTATGACAAAAAAAAAAGGGGGAATGGCAGATAGACTGGGACATGGTACTGAACAGTCAAGGAAGGGTGCTGCTTTCATAGTAGTGTGACTCTTGAAACAAAGCTGCGTTGAAATTGGCAAGCACAGAGTAAACCACCCATAATCCCATCATGCAGAGGTAGCCACTGCTCACACACCAAAAATTGTGACTATCTAAAGATGCTTTATGATTAGTTTTGGTCTTCTTTTTTTCAGGTTTATTTACTTATGCGCACTAGAACTGGGGTGCAGTTCAGAAGTGCAGGTGGTTGAGAGGATTCACCAGATAGAGTGGGGAGCAGAACAGGCAGGTCTACTGAAATACACTGCTGAGGGGAGCAGTATCAGGAGGGGTCTGCTGTCCCATGTGGGTCATCCCCCGGCCTGGGATTGAACTCATGCTGCAGTAGCTGCAGCAGCCTCACAGTGCTGCACTTTAAGCCGTTGCACCACCAGGGAGGGCCAGTTTTGGTCTTCTTCTTACGTCTGTTTTAACTAACATACTGTCTTATGCCTGATCTTAACAACTTCCCTACCCCTAACTACCACTCTCTAGTTAAACTGGACTTCCTTCTGCAACATGAACACACCAGTCTCTGACTGGACTTGCTGTTCCTTTCCTCAGCAAAGGCATCCTCTACTGGTAGCTTCTGTGTCATTTAGAGTAAATCTAGTCCCCTCCCAGAGGACTTTACTGACCCTTTGAGGTCAAGCAGCTCCTGCTCCCAATCACCATTACTTTTAGCCTATTTTATTTTCTATATAGCACCCATCCTATCTGTCAACTATAGCTATTTTTTGTCTCTAAGAACAAAAGCTTCTTGAAAGTAGAACTTTGTGGCCCTCCCTGGTGGCGCAGCTGTTGGAGCAATGCACTGCCAAGCCATGGCAGCTTCACTGCAGGTTCAATCCCTGCCCCAGAGGTAATTCACATGGTGCAGCAGACCTCTCCTGTCAGGCCCGCTGCTCCCCTCAGCAGTGTACTTCGTTGGTGTACACTGAGTTCGATCCCAGGCCAAGGGGGTGACCTACATGGCACAGCAGACCTTTCTTGACCCGCCTGCTGCGCCCCTCAGCAGTGTATTTCAGTAGGTCTGCTTGTGTACAGAGCTGCCTGTTCTGCTCCCCACTGTCTCTGGTGAATCCTCATGCCACCCCTGCACCCCTGGCCTGAACTGCATTTCTGTATGCAAAAATAAATTAAATCTTTTAAAAAATAAGCAATAATTAAAAAAGAAAGAAAGTAGAACATGTGCCCTCTTCCACTCTTTTTCCTAGTGGTTAGACTGGTACCTGGCACGACAATGTGCTCATTGAATATCTGCTTATTGACTAAAACAGTTGACCCCAGTTGTGCCCATTATCCTCTGTGGGTTTCTGTAGAGAGCCTACAGGAAATAAGATGGCAGAGAGTAAAGAGCTTTGTAGAAATGCAAAGCCCTGACTTTGGGAGAGGCCAGACACTCCAGTGCTAGGATGATACTTCCGTTTCTCCCTATTCTCTTCTCCACCTTTTCCCGATACAGGTGTACACACTTAGGCAAGGGGAAAAGGGAACTTAGCTTCAAAGAAGGGAAATGATTATATTTTCCAGGAACCTTGTAGACATGGAGAAAGGGAACTTCATAGGGAGTTTCAGTTTAAGAAGAAAAAAAGGTCGTGGGCCCTCCCTGGTGGCACAGGGGTTAAAGAGCAACACTAAGAAGCTCTCCACAGCGCAGCCTCTGCAGCATGAGCTTGATCCCCGGCCAGGGAGCTACCTACATGGCGCAGCAGACCTCTCCTGACTCCCTCGGCAGCTCCCCTCAGCAGTGTATTTCAGTAGAGCTGCCTGTTCTGCTCCCCACTCTGTCTCTGATGAACCCTCTCACCTCCCCCCATTTCTGGCCTGTACCCAGTTCTTGTATGCATAAATAAATAATCTTTTAAAAGATAAAGTCCTTGTGATGGTTGCACAGAGGTGTGACTGTACTTACCAGTCACTGAATTGTACACTTAACAACGGGGTAAAGTACTGCATTATGAAGCTCTCCGCAGCCACTGCATCACAAGTTTGATCCTCCGCCAGGGAGGTGACCCACATGGCGGGGCAGATCTCTCCTGACCTGCCCACTGCTTCCCTCAGCAGTGTACTTCAGTACCTCTGCTTGTTCTGTTCCCTAAGCTGTCTCTGGTAAATCCTCTCACACCTCTGGCCTGTACCCCAGTTCTGTAAGCATAAATAAATAAATCTTAGGGGGAAAAAAGGGCTGAGATGATAAGTTTCATGTATATATTACCATGGTTTTTAAAGTTTAAATTTAAAAGGGTTTTTTTGTAGTTGAGCAAGTTCTGTTGGTGTGTGGTGTACATTCTATTAAGATTTCTGATTTTAGCATATGGAGAAAATTAGATTGAAGTTGCATTTTAATTATAACTTTTGAGATAGCCAGGATTCACATACACCCCTTTTTCCCTTCTCTACTTTGGGAATTGCAGATTACCATGATGAACAACTTTGTTTCTGGAAAGCCAGAAAAGATAGTGGAACTTCAGAAGTCACTTAGTAAGGGGCTGGCTTTTTCAGAGGCACCAAAGAGCAAGGGAAAGACTTTTCATCACTTAGCTCTGTTTTTCCGACCTTTAGAACTACTGGAGAAATAAAAAGTAGAAATGCTTACACAGTACCTGATATATAATATGCTCTCAGTAAGTGGTAACTGCCTTGATTATAAGGACTTGTAATCAGATATAACCAAAGGGAGGTGAATTTTGATGAAGGAAGTAGGTTTTCCAAGCCCGAACTGAGAAGATTTTTATGGAGCTTCTGAATTTCCTGGTACTCTATCTTTTGGGAATCTAAGCATTATAGAATAGTATTATGAGATTTGGGTGGGAAGTTTTGGGGTTTTCTTCAATAGTGTGGAGTTGGAATACTGTATTCAGATTTCCTGGTATGTTGTAGTAGACATAAGTTGCAATCCATTTCTACATCAAGAGGATATACAAAATAAAAATGTATCAAGTTTTAAGTTTCTTGTATATTTCAGAACTCAATTTAAAAAAAAGAAAGGGCCCACCCTGGTGGCACAATGGATTACATCAGCAGTATGAAGCTTCCCGCAGCCACTGCAGCACGAGTTTGATACCCAGCCAGGCAGGTGACCCACACAGCAGACCTCTCCTGTCTTGCCACTCTCTCCTCAGCAGTGTGCCTCAGTCAGTCTGCCTGTTCTGTTCCCCACTGTGTCTCCTCTTACCCCCCGCCTCCCCATCACACACTTACCTCTGGCTATACCCCAGTTCTAGCGTGTATAAGTAAATAAAATATTTTTTAAAAAAGAAAAAAAATAGGAAACTGAGAGGCATGGGCTACATGATGTATATCTTGACTATGAAGGATTATTATTCTGGGTTTAACTTAGAGAAATTAACATAGAGGTGAAGCAAGGGGACGATTGGAAAGCTGATGTGAAAATGTCCATATAAAAGATTAATTTGGAGAAGTAACCATTAGAATAATTAATACATGGTTTTACAATGACTGGTTTATTAACTTATATTTTCTTTATTCTAGTTATAAAAGTAACCATGGAGTACTCTGAAAACTCAGTGGATTCAAAATCCATTAAAAATTCAGAAATGTGAGTATTTAAGTGGAATCCTTTAGAACCAGGGGAAGATGAGTATATGTGATACAGCCGACTTTTGAGGAACTGGGTAGCAGAAAGAACATGGTTTTTAGCGCCAGAGAAACCTAGTTGACTTTTGTAAACCTGTTAGCTCGCCCGCCCGCATCTGGTCTTTAAAGTGGAGGTAATAACACTTCCATGAAATTGTGAGGAGGACTGAGGCAAGACCAGGTAGAATGTCTGATGCAGAGTCTGCAACCCCACTCAGGAATCAGGAGGACACACGGGCAAGCAGGACCCACTAGTCTGGACACCTCTCTAGCTCCCAAAATCCCTCGGGAGGGGAGGTATCTGAGGCAGCTTTGCACCTCTTCTTTATGAGTTTTAAGACTAAACTGAAATGCCAGTTCTCTGTAAGAGGCAGAGTTACCCACTGAGGGGTCATCATTTACCCTTTGTTTTCTCTTGTCTTTTCAGAATATTCTATTTACTTTTGCTTCCAAAACCCACAGAGATAGAAAAAGGAAAAGGATAAAATTCAAGGTCTTAAGTCTTCATGTCTGTTACCATTCACTTGCTGTCTCTTGTGATGCTTTCAATTCTAAATTTATTTCTGAAAGTCAATATTACTACCTTCGACCACCCAGGGGATCATAAACTAATTTTAATTCTAAACAAAAGTATTACATCAGTATTATTAATGGGTTTCCAATAAAGAGTTAGCAGTGTTTGTCTTGCAAAGGAATTTGCCAAGAAATTTAATTTTGAAAAGCAATCTCAGAGGGTTTTTAAAACCCTTTAAAAGTGGTTTATAGATTTTTCCTGTCTCCTCATACAGAGAATTATATGGAGGCCCAGAACAGATCTAGATCTGTTCAGATCCTTTAACTTACCCTCACATTCCCAGGCTTTTTGAGTCTCTGTTCTCCCTCAGACAAATGGGCTTCAGAAGCAGGCAGAATTCTGTGATCCATTATCTGTATGACCTTCTCAAGTCTCGTAGCTTCTAGAGTTTTAATTTTCTCATCTATAAAATGTGGAGATCTAACTCAATATTATAGTTCATTACTGACTTTTTCATTTACAATTTTAATCTTTTTCTAATAATACTTTTAGACTTGTGTATGTGAAATACTCAAGCTGGTAAACAAGCACAGGGACTTCAGATAGTCTGTCTAGCTTTCCTAGTCCTCTACTCCCTGGCTCTGGGTCTGGATCAGGAATCTAGCCTGCAGTAAGTTTCACTGGAACAAAGCCATAGCCACACTCATTCATTTGCATATTGTCCTGGCCCCTTTTGGGGGGGACGGTGTAACTACAACAGAAATCATGGCCTGTAAATCTAAAATACTTAATTATTTTGCCCTTTTAATAATGTTTATTGATCCCCCCCCCACCCCCCCAGACAACAAAGGCTTTTATATTAAGATCTCCGGATAAGTTTTTTTTATTATTTATAATAGTGGGTCTATGTATTAAACTGTTATTTGCTTCGCTCATAGGATCTAAGGAACATTTGGGGAATTGCGATTATTGTGCTCTAAGTCCTCTTAGGACTTTGTTGATTTCCTATAACTCCATGGTAAATTTTAAGATTATACTTACCTTGAAGGTTAAAATGGTTCATGAAGTGATAAAAATGTTTTAAGTGTAAAATGGATTTGAAATTTTTCTAAAATTTAGAGGACACCATAAAACTTAGAGAGTAAAAGACTAAACTCTGAAACCCAAAGCCACGTCCACCCTTGGCACTGACAGCGTGTGCTGCCAGCACGTCACTTAGCCTTAAGGAACATTATTTCCTCAGCTCTAAAGTGTTTTTGTTTTGTTTTGTTTTGTGAAATTTAAGTGAGGAAAAAACCTACAAGACACAGCCTGGCACATTAAGTTCAAATGATGTTGTTACTCCTGACGTAAAGTTGTCTAATGAGACCGACACTGGTCACTTCTACCTTTGTGAATCATTCTCTGAATTCCACACAGGAAGATCTTCCATGGAAGCAAATCAGTGGACTCTGGGATATCCTTGGACAATAGTTACAAAATGGATTATCCTGAAATGGGTTTATGTCTAATAATTAATAATAAGAACTTTCATGGGAATACTGGTATGTGTCATAACATAATTTTTAATCCTTTTTAGATATTTTTACCACTTTTATTTGGCATAGTATGACAACTATTGATGTGATTATTCAGTAAATTATGACACAGAATAGCCATTTCGAAGAGAGAGCAGGCCCTGTAGCACAATGTGGACTCTTAACCCTTGCTTCTTTCTCCTCACTCCCTTTTATGCTAATGGAAGGATCCCACTAATAGTAAGTAGCATTTTTCCCTTCCAGGAACTCTGCAAGGCACATCATAGGTCTTATCTCATTTAATTTTTACAAGTCTGGAAAGTAATCACTGCCAGATTCTGAAGGTTAAAAACCCTGCACAGTGATTTAGTTGCAGCACTGGGCTTTAGGCCATGGTGTGCCCAACCCTCAGCCCAGCTCTGAACCTACCTCCTGTGCTACTTTCTGCCCTGTGAGTCCTGGCTCTATTTGATTATTCCTCTGACTCCGGCAGTGGCAGACTGCCCACTGAAAGACTCCTTTCCTTCACTCAGCCTCCTCTGAAGTTTTGATCTTCTTCCCTAAACGTGGAAACTTTGTCTTCTTCCCTAAAGGTGGAAACTTTGTACTTTAAGTTACCATTTTTACTTCTTCCCATCCCTCCTGAAGCTGTTCTCTTTTCTACCTCTACCACCCTACCGAGACTGCTTGCCTAGATTCACTGTGACCTGAGACCAGCAAGTCCTCTTCTCAGTATCTAAACTGTTACCATTTGAATGGAATACATTTTGGAGGTTTTTGAGAATATAGGGAAAAAATCCTCAAATTCTAAAAAGCTAGTTAACACTTTAATATATTTCTTGATGTTTAGACAGTTTCTTTTAAAGTTTAATATTTATAACATGAAAGTGATAGTGTATCCTTCCTTGTTCCACTAAATATAATGTAAACATTTCTCCTTCCTTGTTCCACTAAATATAATGTAAACATTTCTCGTGTATGTATTTCTCATATAGTTGCTGTGTAATTTTCATGAGTGATAACACCACTCTAAATCCATGGTCTCTTAATTTGCATAATTTACCATATGAATGAATGTCTTGGCTGTTCTGTGCTTTTCACTTTAAAATTTATGTTGTGATGATTTGATGTATCTAAGTTACACATTAATCATGCTAGAATTAATTTTTAATAACTAGACATAAAAGATCCTACTTAAGTAGGCTTATCTGCCAAAGGAGTGGTAAAAATGGCCTCCAGATTCCACTGCAAAGATTTTGCTGTTGTATGGAGTGAGGAAAGAGGAAGTGATACTGGATATTTAAGTCTGAAAGCACCGTTTTCATCCTTTTGGCTATAAGCTGAATACCACCTTTACCGGTTAGACTATTCTGCTCACACACTAGCTGTGATTGCCCTCTTCCTATAGAATTTTTGTACTATTCAATTTATTCTTTTTTTTTCCCCCCCCACTCTTTTCCTCAAAAAGATAATAGGCAGTAGCCTGGCTTCAGTGAACTTCTTTTCACTGAAGGTCAGATTCTCATAATCTTGACAGCCTAGTGTTTTACATGGCTCAAAGCCAAGACCAGAATTCAGTCACCTTGTCAAACATCTGCATGATGTCTGTCCTCAACTTTTCTAATATTAAATCTTCATGTGCTTATTTTAATTTTATAGAAATAAAACATGTCAGAAAGAAAGAAAGAAAGAAAGAAAGCTGTCTAGAATAGAAATTTCAGAGATTACTGATACACAAAAAGAATAGGATTAACACCACTCAAAATTACACTACCCAGAGATAATGATATTTTAAAATCTGAGTGCCTCATGCAATCAATCTGTACATTTATTAGAAGGTACTAGAGGGAAATACACAGGTCTAACACTAGTTGCCTCGGACCAGCTCCTGGACTCCTCTGTGCTCGGCACTCCATGTCTGTACAAATACAGCCCGTCATGACCACTTCAGTGGTGTCTAGAAGGGTAAAGGAGATTTGCCATAGCCAAATGCCTGGTGGATGGTATTCACGTGGTTGTGGTTTGTGGTTTTCTCCCTGTAACGGTCCTATGAAAAAGTAGTCCTCTGTCTTACAATTGTTGGAAAGTTAAAATAAAAGAAATGCAGTTCTTTTCATTATATAAATTGTGTGTTATGTTATTTTCTAGTTCTTTTTTAAATAATGACCATTTCCCCATGGCAAAAATCTGTCTATAAAAACTTGAATGGCAACCTGTATTTCTCTAAATAATTGAATCACAATTTAATCAACCCCCCTATCTCAGTAGGTATTTGTTTCTGTTTTCACTGTCTAAGCAGTTGTGAAAGACATCCTGTGACTATAACACAGCTTCTATTAAGAAATGTCTTACACATAAAGCAGTTAAAGACAACTTTGTATCACTATGGTCAGAATATTTAAAATTGCTTAGCATTTGAAAGCAAGAATTTACTGTGGGTTTTGTGACTTAATTGAATAGTTCATTTCATTTCAGAGTGTTTTTTTAAAAAAATTCAAGTAAACTCTTTCTGTTCCCAGGAATGGCATGTCGGTCTGGTACAGATGAAGATGCAGCAAAGCTCAGGGAAACATTCATGAACTTGAAATATGAAGTCCAGAATAAAAATGATCTTACATGTAAAGAAATTAGAGAATTGTTGCATGATGGTAAGAATGACCTTCATTGTCCAATTTTACAGTCTAGTTGTAATTCTATATGCAATAATAAAACATGATACATGTAACCCCTGCCGAGTCCCCAAAATGGGCAGAGGAATGTGATTGTGGCCTGAGTTGAGTTTAGATGCCCTTAGTTCTACTCTCAAAATTTTTTCATCTTATTCCAGTATACATGAGATAATTGACTGATATTATAGAGGTTTTGTTTGTTTTATCCTATTTGTAAATATCTTTCCAGTTTCTAAAGACGATCACAGCAAAAGGAGCAGTTTCATTTGTGTGCTTCTGAGCCATGGTGAGGAAGGAATAATTTATGGAACAGATGGACCTATTGACCTGAAAGAACTGACAAGTTTTTTCAAAGGGGATTGCTGTAGAAGTCTAATCGGAAAACCCAAACTTTTCATTATTCAGGTAGTATATAACTGGTTGTTGAGGTAATACAGCAACTTGGTTGTTGAGAATTATTAATTGCAGATTAATTTATTCAATTGTGAATTATCCAAGGGATTGCTTTTTTTCCTAAAACTACTATTGAACAACAATTAAAGAACCTGGAGTGTTAGCCAGAGTTGTGGGGGTGAGAGGATTCACCAGCTACAGGGTGGGAAGCAGAACAAATGGATCCACTGAAATACACTGCTGAGGGGAACAGTGGGGAGACAGGAGAGGTCTGCCGTGCCATATGGGTCAGCTCCCTGGCAAGGGATTGAACTGCTGATAGCTTCATAGTGCTGAGACTTAACCCTTGTGCCATCAAAGAGCCCTCCCCACACACACACCTTTTCTTTTTTTTTTTTAATGTTTATTTTCTTACCTCTAGGCTTGCCGAGGTACAGGTCTGGACTCGGGCATTGAGACTGACAGTAGTACTGACGATGACATGGCATGTCAGAGAATACCGGTTGAGGCAGACTTCCTGTATGCATATTCGACAGCACCTGGTAAGAGTTGCAATGAAGAGTGTCCAAAGGCTGTCACAACTCCAGTGGTTCCATAAAGTGGCTAACAGCTAGCTAGCTTACCATATGTCAACCACAGAGAAGTCTCCAAAAGTTGTTGTTAGCCAAGGGTAGCTAGAAAACATGCACATGGGTAAGGAGCATTCTTACAGTGTCGTTCATGAACTTAAATACCAGACAGGTTAATAAACTGCAATTTTGCCACAAAGTCAGATATCACCTACTATATAGGAGAGAGGTAGTTTTTCCAAGATTACTTTAGAAGATAGGAAATCAAGATAAACATGGAGAGTATGGGAGAGGTAGAAGTGGGCAAGGGAAAGACATAAAGAAACAGCATGAGAGGTGAATAGGTTGTTAGCCACGCTGTTTCTGTGGCTGTGTTGCACATGTCATTATAAAACCATCTATTGATAATTCAACTAACTTGGGGTGTCATGAGTTTGGAAATAAAGGACATGTGTATTTGAAGCAGTGTTACATTTACAGGTACTCTCAGTATTTCTTCCCCCACCCCATATCATTGTCCATGAGCTCAAAGTTGTCATTTTCCTCTGTTTTTGTGGCTAATAATACCTGGGAAAATTGACCCTTGTTTTTACCTTTGTGATTATGTATAATTTATAGGATCAGCTAAATATCTGTGCTGTTGGTTGTATTTGCCTTGTAGGTTACTATTCCTGGCGAAATTCGAAGGATGGATCCTGGTTCATCCAGTCACTTTGTGCTATGCTGAAGCTGTACGCTCACAAACTTGAACTCATGCACATTCTTACTCGAGTTAACCAAAAGGTAGCCACAGAATATGAGTCCTTCTCCTTGAATTCCACTTTTCATGCCAAGAAGCAGATTCCTTGCATCGTGTCCATGCTTACAAAAGAACTCTATTTTTAACATTAAAGAAATGGATTTTTTTTTTTGATTTTGTGTGCCAAGTGAAAAAAATGGTGTAACTGATAACTTTTTTCTTTCCACTCTTGTTTTAAATCTTATCTAATACTCTCAATGGTCCTTTGAAACATACCACTTTCACAGCAATAGAATTACTCCAAAGCTACCTCAAACTCAAAATCAGGTAGTTGAAAGTGAATTTAATTAGGAATAAGGAAAAATGAATACTGGTACAAGAATTACGAGAGGAAATGATTATAAATGAATACTCTTAATTAGCAACTGTTAGTGATTTATGCTGTGAACTTTCAAGTAATTATGAAAAAGTTGAACATGGATTTCAATGATACTCATCGGGGATTTAAGAGTGTACAGTTTTGGTTTTGTCCAACTGTAGATGTGATGTATCCTGGACTTGGGGACCCACAGGCATAGATAAAGGCTTAAAGACCTTGATTTTAGATTTGGTATAGAGGTGTATTAACTGTTTTTTAGAGCATCTACCTGAGCTGTGGTACTGTGTTATTCATCCTGAGCATGCCTTTGTTGTTAAAACAATACAACAAACATGTTTGACATTGAAAACGAAACTACTTACTTACATGAGAGACCATGTGAGCAATGCAACCTTACAGGCTAAATGCCACCGTAATAGAGGTCCAGGGCCACAGCAATGAGGTGCCCAAGTACAGCTGACCCTCCAGCACCAGCACCTTGCACTGGTCCCTGCACCAGTCTGTTGAGCATCACATACCAGCAAAATATCTGAAGACGCAGTTACATCATGACTGAAGCCACTGGGCACAGCAGGATGGACTGAAGAAAAAAGGAGCATACTAAGCTACAGCTTTTGTAACAGTGAGTCAACCTGCTGAGCGCTCTGACAGAGACTGCACAGCCTGCACGTGAAGGCAGGCCCCTAGGCCAAGGCCCCGAATAAAGGCTAGCCAGCCGGGTTTCTGAGCATGGACTAGTGCACAAGGGGCTGTCCTCAAGGCAGCACTCTCCAAGAAAGTGAACCAAATCGGAAACTTCAGAAATAGAGTTGTCTCTGAAGATGGTGAGAGTCACAGTAGAAACCATGGTACTCCTTGGTAGTAAAACTTCTGAGCTTGTTTTCTCTTCAGTTTTCCAGTTAAAGGGAATGGCCCCTGTTACAGAGTGTTCTTTATTGTGAAAGGGGGATTGTGGCTCACAGGATGACAGACCAGTCTTGCCCTGCACAGGTGCACAGAGAAGCACCAGGCCCAAAGGAGGCTGGTCCCCAGCCAAGGAGGCCGGGCGATAAGCCTCCTCACTGGGAAGGGCTGTGAGGTCACTGCTTCAGGTTGAGGTCTCTTATGATTCTTTTCGTCAGAGGTGGGAATTTGTATTTATAAATGACAACTATTTGTTGTGAGTAAGTCTGTAACGTTCTCGAAGTAATTGAAGCATGTAATAGTATATTGCTTGTTCTTGTGTGACCAGTTCAAAGAAATTTGTTAAAAGAGTTTTTGATTTCTAGATATTAAATATAAAATCACGAGCATGTTCAAGTTTCTTTTGTTCTGATGTTAAGCTACTAACCGGAAATTAAGATACTTTACCAAGATCTTCATTTGGAGAGAGCCAGAGAGGATGGATACAGCAGGACCCCTATTCTCACATAATTTGAGATGGTGGCAAATTACCCAAGAGAAGAAGGAGACTTCCTGTTCTTAGGTCCTTCCAGCAGGTTCCGTTCCTAAAATGGCACTGAGGCCAGGAAGGGTCACATCCTAAATATGGCCACATATTTGCTTTGTGAAGTATGGTGAGTAAATAAAAAAGGTCTTGCTGAAAGGGAACATTTCCCACCACAAGGTAAACTATGACTAAGGCATTTTTTCACAAAGCACAGTCATAGCTCCTTCTACTCAGAATTCCCCCTCACTCTCCCTCCAGCACCCACCCTTCCTCTCTGGGTTTCAGGATGTCTATCTAGGTCACACCTGCTCTGGAGTCCACTAGCTAGCTACCATTTCCACAGTCTGAATTCGTTTTCCCGCTGGCATAGGGGCAACAAAAGGAAACACAAAAGTGGTCTGGTGGAGTAAAAAGCACTATAGAACAACAGGTCATTCTAGAGTTCCGTCAGCTTGTCATTGATACAGGGCCTCCCTGGTGGCCACTATTGCGAAGATTTGATCCCCAGCCAGGGAGCTGACCCACATAGCACACAGCAGACCTCTTCTGTCTGACCCACTGCTCCCCTCAGCAGTATATGTCAGTAGATCCACCTGTCCTGCTCCCCCACTCTGTCTCTGGTGAATCCTCTCCCCCTCCTCCTCAAGCCCCTCCGGCCTACACTCAGGAGTAAATCTTGAAATAGAGCCAGTAAAATTCTCCATACATACAATGTTCCAACTTTGTGCCCTGTTTATCAGGTGGTTTCTAATTCACTTACACAATCCTCTGGACCTTACGGGGTAGCCCCAATTTACAGAGCGTGAAAACAGCAGTTTGGCCAAGGGCACATAAGCAGCAAAGGCGGCCCTGGATCCCTAGAGTCCAGCTGTGGGGTCGCCCACCTATCACTGTTGTACCACTGGAGAGCCCCCAGGACCTAACGGTCAAGCCAGCAGGTTTAGCCCTGAATGTGTTCTGGGGGATTTCAAGTTTTCAATCAACAAATAATTATTCAGCATTTACAACTTCTTGACCAGGCTTTCTGCTAAAACAGATAAGATACATTTTAGCCCCTGAGTTCGGGATTGTGAAATAGATTGTGGTAAGATTAACAAGGAACACCCACTTAGAGGTGGTGTCTCCTTTAAGTTGGAGGAAAACTGCAGAGCAGAGCATGAGAAGGCTAACTCTTGGCTAAGGTGGCCTTTGGCCAGCATCCTAATCTCTACTATTTATCCAAAGAGAAAGCAAAAGTAACTTGGGTGAACTCGCTCACGAATGAAAACAGGTGATTCTGGCGAATCCTGAAGTAGGGTCAACATGTGGCCCCTGGGGTTCCCTACTTCCCACACACCCAGAGGGCCAGGCCACGCTACGGGGGGAGGGAGAAGCTCCTTAACACCGCATGGGATGCCCCTGATACTTGCTCAGCAAGGAATGTCGATTTCCTCACTAGGTTTTCTATGATGGGTGGGTCTCAAGGATGCCGTTAGCAATGTCCGAGGATGTGGTTGGAAAGGAACGGCCATCTTTATTCCCGTTGTGCAGATCGTGATCGCATGGAAACCCTGCACATCAAGGTGGGGAAGTTAAGTTGATGAGAAATGATTTAGGATGTAGGCTGATGATCAAGAAGGCATTCTAAAATGTGCGTCTCTGGAATTCCTTTGGTGTTTTAAATCTCTTCTGACATCCAATTAGGTCATAGGTAAGAAAGTGAAGAGCGGAGAGGAGCTTGGCTCCCCACGGAAACCTACATGTGATCTGGCAGTCCTGGTGCTGACAATATGAGAGGCTTCACCTGCAGGCCCATGGGGCTGCCCTTGCACGTCATACGTGTGCAGAGCCACCCTGTGTCTGCCAGGAGACTGGGCCCTTGGGCTGACCGGACTCTTACATGCACCTGCAGTCCTAACCCAGTGCCAGGTTTCCTTCCATTCCCAGCTCTGAAGACTGACCTGGAGGCGGAGAGGGGAGGGGAAGGATGTACTATTGCTAGGTCAGCTTTTCTGTGTCACACCTGGCCGTCATTAGTCCTGCTGTGACAAATCTCTCTTTTTATGTTTTATTTATCTTCTTTCATTTTTTTAATTTGGGAACAGTATGTGATCCTCAGCTATCGTCCCTGTGGTTCCACCACCACACACCCCACCCCGTGCTGTATCACCACAGTCCCTTGTGCTCTTTGCTCCCCAGTTCTGGCGCCTCTCCATGTCCTTTGCTGGCTATCTCAGGCCCATGCTGTGACAATTTTTTTTTTAAGATTTACTTATTTATGCATGCAAGAACTGGGGTACAGGCTCAGAAGTGAGGGAGAGAGAGGATTCACCGGAGTGGGGAACAGAACAGGCAGACTGTCTGAAATACACTGTGAGGGGAGCAGTGGGTGGGTTGGGAGAGGTCTGCTGCACCATGAGGGTCAATTCCCTGGCCGAGGATGGAACTCAGTGCTGCAGTGGCTGTGGAGAGCTTCACAGTGCTAGAATGAACCCCTTTCACCAGGGAGGCATTGCTGTGACAATTTCCTTGGGAACCTTGAAAACCTCATGACTAACAGCCAAACTTGACAGCATAGAAGAAGGAGGTGGTAATAGAAGGAAGTGGAGATGCAGATGGTGAAACACCACGGCTAATATTTCCTAATAGCATTCGCCACAGGTGCTCATAATAGTAGTTATTCTTATGCAATTTTTCCATGCCACGCACTATGCAAACAGCTCCCTTAATCCTCATGAGAATCTAATGAAATACATGTTATTAGCCCAAGTTTATAACTGAGGAAATGAAAGCTAGGTGAGGAAAAAAGTCACCTAAGGTCACACAGCTGGAGGTAGTTGTGTCTGAACATGAGCCCAGGGATTTCAGATTCCCAGTCCTTGCTGGTTCTGCCCTCTACACACTGCTTACTTCCCCAAAGGACACCAAATTAAAAACAAAGCCAAAACGCACAATAGAATCTAACAGCATGTGTCTGTAAAACAGACTGGGCAAACCTCCCACCTGTTCCTAGTGCTCCAGTCTTGTGAGTCAGATTAACAGAGGGAGAGCTGGCAAAGCAATAGATCAGAAAGGAGTGGACCTCTGCATGGTCCCTTCATAGCTGGAGGAAAGAGCAAAGGAACAGATCCCTGAAAACAACCTGAACAAATTCACTTTTCCAGAACTTGCCCTCAGGATGGCCAAGAACTAAACTTCACCACACCCTTTTCAGAGGTCAGTTTCAAGGAAGGTGAGCTCTATTCTAGCATAGAGTTGGAAAGCTACAGTCAGAGTCAACCTTGTTTGAAAACTGGCAGATCCAGCCCTCCCTGGTGGCACCGTGGGTTAAAGTACAGCATGAAGAAGCTGTCTGAGTTTGGGCTGCAAGCCTGGCTCTAGGTAAGGGTTAACGACATGAGGATGCCAGAAGTTGGGCATCTGGGGGACTGAAGCTAGCAAGGCCCTTAGAAACTCAAAAACAAAATGGCGTGAGAAGTAGGAAGCAGCATCATAAGATGGAAAGTTCACTGGCTTGCAGTTAGCAAGATCTGGCCACAGATCTTAAATTCACTCATCAACTGTAAGAACGCCCAAAACATTTATGAACTTCGGTCTTCTTATTCAGATAAAGATTATCATAAGCAGCGTCATGTTTACAGAGCAACTGTGACAATCAGAGACGATGTGTATAAGTGACATAGCCTAGGACTTCACATCCTCCCAGTTTCTGAGTCTGGAGTCCAGCACAGATTAGCTAGGTTCCTCCCAATCGAGGTACCAGCCAGGTAGTGTTCTTATCTGGAGGACTAACTAGGGAGAAAATCATTTCTTAGTTCACAAGGTTGGTGGCAGAAATCAGTGACTTGTTGCTGGAGGGCATGCCTCATTCACCCTCTACCAAGTAACTCTCCCAACTTGGCCATGAAGCCAATTATGCACTTCCTGTCTAAGGCAACCATTCCACTCCTGGGTGTTTATTCAAGCAAAATGAAAATCTACATCCACCAAAAGACTTCTACATGAATGTTCACAGCACCTTTCTTCACATGGACTAAAACAGAACACAAATGTTCATCACGAGGGGAATGGACACATAATGGAGACACAGCCATGCAATGGAATATTACACATCCATGAAAAGGGACACAACGCCAATATACACAACAGGGATGCATGTTAGAAGCATCTTGCTGAAACAAGTCAGGCACAGAGTATAGGATCTATGACTCCATTTTTACTGAGGATTAAAACAGACGACAACTAAACTGTAGTGAGAAAAATCATATTTGTACTTCCCTGGGTTGGGACTAGGGGTCTAGTCAATAGCAAAAGAGGACAAGGAAGATTTGGGGGTAATAAAAGTATCTGAGACCTTTGATGGGAGTGGTACCTACACAGATAAAGAAATTTTTCAAAACTCACCAAACTGCAGTCTTAAAATAAGCACATTTAATTGTATGTAATAAGATATTTATTGTTGTATGAGTATTAAGCCAAATAAGGTTGATTTTTTTAAAAAAAATGACCTGGGGAGAGGGCTGGCACTGGAGAAAACTCTGATGTAGATCATTCTACGTGTCCCTAGAGAGGTCTGAAATTTATGCTGTTTCTCAATTCCAATGGAGTTCCTGTAGAATCTATGTGAAAACTCTATAGAGGGGATTGAGATGGAGCTGAGACCGTGTTCCCTATTCCTCCTGCTGAACATAGTTAAAAAGCCAGGATTTCATAACGCATACTGAAGAGTCTGAGAGTGGCTAGAAGAAGGGAGGCTGAGGGAAACCCAGGGAATGATGTGGCAGTGGGTTCTCTTGTGTTTTCTTTTTGTCCATATATCCTTTGTGTTTTCTTTTTGTCCATATATCCTAAGGCTAATTCAGGAGAAGGTGGT